AATCAAAATTTCACCTAGCTGGCAGGCAGAGCTGCCACCTCTTCTGCTTTTAGCAGAAAAATTCTGCTTTTTGAAAATTTTTCTGTCTTTTTTCTGTGGTTTCTGCTTTTTGAGAATTTTTCTGCGTTTTTGGATACTGCGAAATTTATATTTTTAAAATATTTTTCATCTCACAGATCATTTTTTACAACTATAAAAAAATCCTTATCAATAGTTACTAACCCATGTTCTCAAAATCGTCTGACTGTTGACGATTCTCCGCCATTTAAAAAAACGCCAATTAATCGCTAGCATTTGGTGATTATATTGTCGAAGTTTAGCATAAATGGCGATTTTTCGGTGAAAATTAGCAAAAATCGACAGTTTTTTACAATTTACCGCGATATAATCTCACAATTAATCGGGCTAGCATATCGCAATACAATCGGCGATTTTGATTTGGCTGTTGACACAGATAGTCTATATATGGTCGACCTATTCTATCAAAGTCATATGGGTTTTTCATTTCCTGTGTTTTTGTTGCAAGGATTCAAGAAAAATCGCCAATTTTTACGATTTATCGCGATATAATCTCTCGATTAATCGCTAACACATCGCGATAAAATCATCGATTTTGTCACGATTTCGATGACATGGGAATGTTTTTGTTCTATTATAATTCTTTCAATGTTACAAAAATGATCTTTATTTTTCTTAGTTCCGACTAGTTATGGATGTTTATATATTCTTTCACTTAATCACCAAATTTTAGGAAGCTGGTATGCTTTCATATTCTCTACTTTGTAGCAACCCTTATGTGGAATCAGCATTCTGAAAATTGAAACTTTTTTAAATGATAAAAGGAACTGTATAGGAACAGAACTAATATCGGCTTTATTAGCAATACTTTTAAATTCATTCTTATCATGTATTGAAATACATAAATATTGATTAGGTAATCTAGATTTATTAAAATCTATTAAATGTGATGAAAAATATACGTTCAAAAGAAACTTTTTGCATAATCCTGTTTATTTGTTAATTAATTGTTTTTCTTGATTCTGTACAATAATGATCAACATTTGATGTGAAAGCACTTAATTAGTATACTCGGACAAAGTTTCAAAACAGCTTTATATCACAGAAAATGCGTTCTGTCTTTTTATTCCGCTTTTTTATGATAAAATTTCTGTCATTTTCTGCTTTTTATAAATGATTTTCTGCTTTTTGGACTTCAAAAGGTGGCAGCACTTCTGGCAGGTCATTTTCATGAGTTGTTTTGCATGTTTTTCAAATATCATTAGTATGAAAAGAATTTCGTCTTGTACATTATTGAAGAAAAAGATGTGCCCACTCCTCCTCTTTCCACTGGTGAAAACCATAGGTCGCTAGCTATTGCGGCTGTCGAGTTATTGAGCTTACACCCACGCCGCTTTTATTTTGACGCGGACATTACATGCACACCCTATAGTTCTGGGTGTGAGTGTGGATGTGTGGTTGTAGGTGCCGACACATTAGCATACCCACATGCACACCCAAAGCGGTGCTTCAAAACTTTTTGGGTGTGGGTGGGTCTGGGTGTTGGTGTGAGTGTGGGTTTGAGGCGTGGGTGTGGGATGTGGTTGTGGGCGTGTCGGTGTGGGTGTGAGTGGATGTAGGTATGGGTGTTGTTAAGGTACTATCACAAGCAAACCCACACCCACCCCCACACCATTTTTTTTCAAATTGGATATTTCCATTATTTGTGTGAATTTCGACAGTTTATTTTAATTTATTTCAAAAATCAAATATTCGAAATACTTTCTTCAAAGCACAAAAAATATTAGAATGAGATTCCGTAATTACTTGTAATTTTTGCTCTTGTTTATCTCTCAAATATTATTGAGCATGAACATGATTTTACAAATGTTTAAGTTTATCAGTTTTTTCTTTTGTTTGAGGAATATATTTAAATATATGTCAATCTTGTTACATATTGTAACCAATGGCTTATTAATTGAATTTTCTTTCCATAGAAACGAATATCAAATTTAAAATTCTTGGGTGCGGGTAGGTACGAGTGAAGAATAGGAACAATCATATCCATCCATCCACATAGCCATTCCTTAGGGTGCTTAAATAAATACGAAATAGGTCCGATATTTATTTACAAGGACTTGAAAATCCTTCGTTCTGAGATTCTTCTAAGAAAATCAAATCTGAGCATTTTTCAGTGTCGAATTTGGACACTGTTCTTTATTTTACAGCTAAGATCATCGTCTAGAGATCACAGAAACCCTTCTAGCATTTCTAGACAATATGTTGCAGCAGATCTTCTCCAAAAACCTGATAATAGCTTAACGTTACACTTGCTATCTCTTCGAGGATGTGGGGCATGGGTGTGAGTGTGGGTATGAGATGTGGATGTCCTTGAAGAGAAGATGCACACCCATACCTACACACCAACTTAATTCACCTGAATTATACTTTAAGCGAACCTTATCTATGAAATACGATTGTTCTCTATAGCCATACTCTCAATTCGAAAACCGAGCGCATAATAATATGTCAAAAATCTTGAACTGATACATATAAATATATTCGTTCGAAAACATTTTTATGATTTTTTTTTCGTTATGATTCCGACGTGTTTTTATGAGTTTATTTTTCTTGTTTGTCTGAGTGGGTCTCGAGAAAAGTATCGGCAAAGATTCTAAATGAATCCCTAAGTTCTACACTCACAATCCTTATTAGAATCATCATTTCTTTTGCACAGATTCGAAACGCTTATTCTTGAAAACCGTCAAAAAAGTTCGTGAAATGTTACCCTAAAGGTTCTAAAAGTAGGCATAAATCGGATTCCTGGTATCCTCATGATATCATACCAAGACTTATAAACTTGGCATTCTGTCGGAGCATATTACTTTCTTGCTAAGATTTTAGCTTGTTTTGGCTATGAATTTCAATGGGATTCTGCTATGAAGATGATGAGAAGGCCTTGTTAAAACCTTTTGAATTTATGTTACAGTCTTCGTTGCTACATAAGATTCGATCTAATCTTTGCTGAATTCTGATATTATCGTGTCAATATCCCATGAAAGATCAATGTTTTGTCTTCTGAGAATGAGAAATGCTTGTTCTTGAAAATCTACTGATTGCATCTTGAAAAATTTGACAAAGAATTCTTTTGTTGCAAGTGTACATTCGATTTCTGGTATTCTGATGAAATCTTGTCAGAATTTTGCAGTTCAGCATTCATCAGGTGCCGGTTTTATTCTTCGTTATGCTTCTACTTTTATATAATGAGAACTCTAAACCAGATTCTCGTATGAGGATTTTGAACATATATTTCTAAAAATCGAATAATATAGTGATGATGAAGAAATCTTTGTATCTTGATGCATTCGCTAATTTCACTCATAAATAGACGAGTAGATAGGTTAAGTATTCAAGCTGTGAATATTTTATTTGATTTCATTCTTCTCATTCGATTAGTCGATATTTCTCATCAAGGATATGATTTGCCAACCTTTTCTTGGCAAAGAGTCTAAGACAGTTTTAGGATATACTCAAGGTAACATATCTCTACCAGAGAAGCAAATTTAAGTTTAAATTTAAATAGTAAAGACACTGAAATTGAAATAAAACACGTGTTTGTGAGTTTTCTCTTCTTGCCTGATTTTAGGTGACTTTGTGCATTCAGTTTTCATGAGTCTTTGTTGTTTTAGAGTAGTTCAGCATATCGACTATTTCAAACTTGAAAAAAAGGTTATTCTTTAATGACCCAATCGCTTATTTTTTTTCTCTTCAATTTGGTTTTGTGCATTTCCATATTATTTTCTATTAATTTTCTCATTTCTTTGAATATTTATCTCTTTCACTCATATTACGTAGTAAACGATTCTTTTTTGACGCATTTTCATTTCTCTTTATGCATTACTTGACATTTTTTTAGGCATTGATTGCATTGTTTTTCTTATAGTTAGTTAAAAGTTAATGTAGATGATAGATTGGCTACCGAAGGCAAGTGTGTTGAATATAAGTTTGTCTTCAAATTTTTAGTACTTTCATTGAAATTGGACATACACGTAAAGCGATTGAATGTTTTTTTGTTTTTCTATTCACGTCAGCAAATATGATGAAAAAGCGAATAGTTATAGTTAGATATCATAAATAAGTTTCAATTATACGTTTCATAATGTTCGATGGCTTATTTTGATTTAGTTTTTGTATATTTCGAATATACAAAGTTGAACAGATTGAAAAGATATATTTTGAAATGTAATATCTAAATATTGAAAAAATACAAAAAGAAACACATTTAAAAGTAGTAGAATCATTTTTATCATTATATCTTCACATGTTGCTTTAGCCCCTCTCCCTAGAAGAAAAGTCGACTTTTTGTGAAAACCATGAAAATTCAGATAAATGCATAGGAAGATAGTACGAAGTCAAATCTTTTAAAAACGACATGACTTTTCATGCGGCACTTCGTTTTGTTTGAAAAAACGTCTGTCATTTTCTGCTTGAAAAAATATGGTTTCTGAGATAAATTGAAAATCATTTTTGCTTTTTCTTAGTTTATGTTTTTTGATTGGCCATCCCAGCATGTTCGAAGGAGCTTCATTTTAGTATATGACTTTTTCTTCGATTTGAAAGAGTATGTCAAGAGACAGGGCATGAGAGAATCCTTTCTTAAATTGATCTTCGTTATTATCAAATAAAGGAGTAGTTTTATAATTAGAACGCCATTTTTTTGAGAATGTAAGAATTGGGGTGTGGATGTGGGTATGTATGGAAAGAATCAGCCCACACTCACACCCATATCAAGAGCCATACACACGCCATTTTTACATCATGAATAAAACATGATGAGGATACGTCGAATGGTATTTAAGCAAACTTTCTAGCTGTCTCAGTTTCGAAGATAATTGATAAAAAATGTGTCAAGAAAAGTAATAGTATTACGTTTGAATAAGATATTTCACTCAAAACAAGATATTTTTGATTCAAACAACAAAAAATATCTAGAAATTTCAAGTATGAGTAAATTTTTATAGGATCATAAATTTTTATATTTGAATTGTGGACTGACTTTTTGGTCTAATTTTGCAAACGTAAGTCATATAAAAAATGACAAAATAGAAAATAAATGAAAATAAGGATCAAAATTGTAATTTTCGTGTGTCGAAAAGTTGTCATTCATGTTGACTTTAATTTGAAACAATCGCAAGTTCTATAGCTTTAAATAATGATATAGTCTTAAGAGATTCTCAATGTAAGGAATAAATATCGCCTATCAATAAGTTAATTAATTATTGTTGAAAATTGCAGACCCGGAAACGAACCTTGCCAAGCCCCAAATGAGAGCTAAGAATAGATTTCTCTATGTAAAAAAGAACGTATTATAACAATCGATTCTAGAAGAACAACATAATGTGTGAAAAAAATAACTTCTAATGAGCATGTGATTTTGCAGATAAAACTATGAAAGACGAAAAGCAAATAAAAAAGTAATAGAGAAATTTCAGTTGTGTAGTCTGAAGAAGTTTCTTTTGTCTAGAATGTTTTCTAACATACATTTAACGTACCATATAGAAAAAAAAAATTGATAAGAAAACTAATGAAATAGTTTCAACTTCTAATACTTTTTTTGTTTTTAATTTAAAAATACATGTAGAACTATAAACTTTTTGTATTCTTTTTCTCGATCTATGAAGAAAATTGCAAGTTCGTTTGAACTTAGAAAAAAACAAGCAATATAGTAAATAATTGAATGTTCTCTCATGAAGTTGCTATAATATCTAATAATATAGAAAGAAAAAGTTCTATTAAAAACAAATATGAATGTAATAAAGATTTTTCTTCTGTTCTAATTAGTTTATTTCTATTTTTTCATGACTCTCTGTCGCGCTCTGTCTAGTAGTCGGTAAAAGGATGGGAGATTCCAATGTTTTCTATATATGTGCATATTCATAATTAGATCTTTCATAGAACTCAAAAAAAATTCACTATTTGTAATAGAATGATTATCGTGATCTATTTCTTTTTCCAAGCAAAACAAAAAGAACTTTAATTATTTGTATTAATGATTTATTAATTACGTACGATGACTTACATTTCAACTCTACTAAAATCTTATTTTGAAGTCCACTAATTCAAAATGTAAGATATAAAGATAGTCGAATAGAAAAACAAAAAAAAAAAGAACATATATCAATAGTTATTCTATGATAAATTAAGTAATAAAGAAAACCAAATAGAAAACACCTCAGTGTCAAAAGAAGAAATCTGAAACAAGTAAAAATTCGGAACGATGTTGACTTTGCAAAAACTCAAATGAACTTTTCACTTTTTTCTCTCTTATTTTACCCTTTCTCCTTTCTCTCTCGATTTCAGTCCATCCATTACGTGGGAGTTCCATTGACATTTATCCAAATGCTCGATGGCAACAAAATGGTATCACTGTGGCTGGAGGAAGTGGACGAGGCAATGGAATCAATCAACTCTCAGGCGCACACGGTTTGTATGTTGATGCTGATCAAACAATCTATGTTGCTGATGCATGGAATCATCGTATTGTGGAATGGAAACGTGATGCAACAAGTGGTCAAATGGTTGCCGGTGGAAATGGACAAGGAAGTGGAGATCATCAATTGTCTTACCCAAGAGATGTGATTATCGACAAAGAGAGAGATAGTCTCATCATATGCGATTGTTTGAATAGAAGAGTGGTTCGATGGCCTCGTCGAAATGGGACAAGTGGAGAAACAATCATCTCCAACATCTATTGTTTGGGTTTGACAATGGACGAGAATGGATCTCTCTATGTCACTGACTATGAAAAAAATGAAGTGAGACGATATCGAAGAGGAGAATCTCAAGGAACAGTGGTTGCAGGTGGCAATGGAAGTGGAAATCGTCTCGATCAACTCTATACCCCAACATACGTATTCATCGATCGAAATCATTCAGTGTACGTATCTGATAGGGACAATCATCGTGTGATGAAATGGATGGAAGGTGCAAAACAAGGCATTGTCGTGGCTGGTGGTCAAGGAGAAGGAAATGATCTTACACAATTGTTATATCCTCAAGGAGTCGTTGTCGATCAATTAGGCACTGTCTATGTGGCTGATCCAGGGAATGATCGAATCATGCGTTGGCCTCAAGGAGCCACACAAGGAAGTGTCATTGTTGGTGGAAACGGTAGAGGAAAACAATCAAACCAACTCAATTATCCCATCGGTTTGTCATTCGATCGACACGGGAATCTCTATATCGTCGATCACGTAAATGATCGAGTCCAAAAATTCGACCTACAATCCAATCCAAAGTGAACCCGAAGAACACAGAAAAAGACATTCACAATTTCATAAATCACTCCCCTAATTAATTAATTAATTGATTAACACAACGAAAAAATTAATTAACACTATATTCTAATTACATTATAACAAATAAATAAATAAAACTCACCCTCATTATAAAAAAAACACATATTCTATACTAGGAAATCTTAAACACACAAAAAAAGAGAAACAACAAAATCACTAAGGATACCTGGCTGACTTCCATCAAAGAGGAAACCTTGAATTTCCCCGGCCGACTCCAAGGATTCCATGACACAAAACAAAGTCTGGCATTTCGAATATTGTACATCATGATGAGTTCCACCAGATTCAAAGGATTCCAAAAGATCCCGAAGTGGGAACCCATGCAACTCGAAACCTCCTTAAAACTTCTACGGTCACCTTAGGATTTTCCTAGGATAGCAGGGACTCCAAGGGTTCCATGGTGTTACGGTTTCTTTCTTTCCTTTCTGTCCTAGATATATATATGTATGTATATATGATTTCACGTATGTCCTTGATGTACGTGGACAACTTTATTACATAATCAAAGAAACAATTCTGCCTACATATACGATATAGATGATATGTATATACGAAAAACGAGAAAACAAAAGAACCAATTAAAGAATCAAAGAGATGAAAGAGAATAGAGATTAACAATAAATAGTGAATATGTATACATGCGACATCACCGTAACACATGGTATACGACTGCGTCTGGCATTTCGAATATTGTAGATCATGATGAGTTCCATCAGATTCGAAGTATTCCAAAAGATCCAGAAGTGAGAACCCATGCAAACCTAGACCTCCTTCAAACCCCTGTGGTCAGCAAAAGAACTTTCTCAGCAAACTGAGGATTCCAAGGATTCCATGATGTAAAATGATGTCTGGTATTTCAAACATTGTAGATCGTAATATATTCTATCAGATTCGAAGGATTGCAAAAGATCCAGAAGTGGGAATCCATGGAAACCTATACCTGCTTAAAACCCCTATGGTCACCAAAGGACTTTCAGAGCATACAAAGGATTCCAAGGATTCCTGACGTAAAACAATGTCTGGTATTTCAAATATTGTAGATCATGATATATTTTCTCAGATTCGAAGGACTCCAAAAGATCCGGAAGTGTGAACCTATGCAAACCTAGACGTCCTTCAAACCCGTATGGTCACCAAAAGACTCTCAGAGGATACCAAGGATTCCATGATACAGTACAATGTCTGGTATTTCTAATACTGTAGATCATAATATATAGAATCAGATTCGAAGGATTCCAAAAGATCCGCAAATGAGAACCCATGGAAACCTAGACCTCCTTAAAAACCCGTTTGGTTACTATTGGACTTTCAGAGGATAGAAAGGATATCAAGGATTCTATGATATAAATCAATGTCTGGTATTGCAAATATTGTGGATGATGATGAGTTCTATTAGATTGCACGGATTCCGAAGCATCGTGAAGCGGGAACCCATGCACACGTGGAACTCCTGAAATCCCCTTTTGATCACTGTAGGACTTTCAGAGGATACCAAGGATTCCTTGATATACAACGATGTCTGGTATTTCAAATATTGTAGGCCATGATGAATTCTGTTAGATGCGATGGATTCCTAAGGATCCTGGAGTGGGAACCCATGCAAACCTTGACCTACTTAAAACTCGTTTTGGCCACTGTAGGACTTTCAGTGAATACATAAAATACCAAGGATTCTCTTACATAGAGCGACTGCTGATATTTCAAATATTGCAAATCATGACGAATTCTATTTGATTCCAAGGATTCCGAACGATCCACAAGTGGGAACACATGTAAACCTTGACCTTCTGAAGACGTCTTTTGGTCTCTATTGGATTTTCAGACGATACAAAGTATAGCAAGGATTCCGTAATACAAAACAATGGCAGGTTTTTGAAATATTATAGGTCATGATGAATTCTATTAGATTGGAAGGATTCCGAAAGATCCAGAAGCGGGAACCAATGCAACTGTAGACCTCCTTAAAACCCCTATTCTCACCATAGGAGTTTCAGAGGATACCAAGGATTCCCTTATATAAAACAATATCTGGTATTTGGAATATTGTAGATCATGATGAAATCTATCAGATTCGATCGACTCCAAAAGATGCTGAAGTTGGAACGCATGCAAGTGTAGACCTCTAGAAATCCCTCTGGTACCATAGGACTCTTGACCGATGTTAAAGGTTCCAAGGTTTCCATGATAGAAAACAACGTCTGACATGCGGAATATTGTAGATTATGATGAATTCTATCAGATTCCAAGGATTGCAAAAGATGCTGAAGATGGAAACGTCGTAAATTGTGGTATCCTAGTAGGTTTCTTTGGTGACTATGAAGGTGTTGGAGGATACCACATATTCGAATCGTGCGATGACAGGAAAGAATTTGGTGTAATGAGAATATGATGGGTCATGATCAGGGTTGCCAGATCGAAAACTCAAAAATCAGAATTTTTTTTGCAAAATCAGAGATTAATCAGAAAAGTCAGTTTTTGAAAAACCTAGTGGTTATTATGGTATCATGTTGGTACAAGATGCTCTATTGAATAGCTGTTCATTAATTCATACTTTATTTTCAAAGATATTTCGCTATAAAAAAGCATAATACAATGAATATACTGTTTAGCTAACAAGGAAAAACTAATGAAGACACGTAGTGTCGAACTCTTTCGCTAAACTCAAAATTCGTTCACAAAAAAAGTACGAAAGCAAATCACATATATACGATATAAGCTATAAGATCCTATGAAAGAAAAAAACTGATGATTATGTAACATAGATTCGATATTATTGTTCATATCTTCCATTTTTTCGAATTTGCTTTAACAAATGTGTTAGAGTTAAAAGATATTTATAAAATTGTTCACACGAATAATTATGATGTGATTTAATTTCGCTAAAAAAGCTGTGATATGATTTAGAAAAGTTCAGAATTCAGGAGAAAAGCAAGGAAAATTATCAAAAACAGGAAAAATCAGACGAGAGTGCTAAAATCAGAAAAAATCAAACTGTCAGAAGGAAATCAGAAAGGCATCCGAATTTCAGACAATCTGGCAACCCTGTTCATGATGGATTCTATCAGGTTGCTTGGATTCCAAAGGAATTCGAAGGGGCAACCAGTTCAAATTGTGATATCCTGGCAGTGTCTGCTGTTAGTATTGGTCTTTGATAGCTTATGAAAGATTGTAAGGAATCAAGAAATATATGGTAGTCAGAGCCTTGTGGTTCATGATGGATTGTATACAATTCCAAGGATGGTAAATGTGCTGGAAGTGTGAAACGGCACAAAAGAGTATGTTCTGAAAACCTCCGTTGTGTTCAAAATGGTTGTCAGCAGCAACGAAGATCTCCATGGATTTCATGGCAGTAGAATTGTGTGGGTCTGAGAATGTTGCAGCAAGTGAGGGAATATATCAGTTTGGAAGATGTCGACAACATCGAGAAGCGAAACGACATTGAAATTGAGATCCTTCGAATATTCGTCTACAGGGTATGACAGTATTATAGATATCCAAGGGTTCCGAGGATCGGGTGGCTTTGGGTAGGGACTTTTATGGAGAATGGTCAGGTTGATTTTGGATTCTATGATATGTGAAGTAGTCGAGGCAGAGATAGAAATATTCTTTTTTTCTTCATAGGTTGCTGGCACTTGATAGCCTATGATGCTTTTTGTGGTCGTATGCCTTTCTCTGATTTTCATCGGACTGGTCTGCCTGCTTGATGAGTCGGGTGTTTGCTTTTGTGTACCAATAATTGGATAATAATTGAATAGAAGTGGAAAATTGTCTTTGTAAGAAGAGAGAAAAGTGTTTTGATATTACAATAGCATGACGAAATGAAACATCTATTCATTCATTGAGATATATTAGTATTGAGTGGAGACCAGGCAGAAGCTTTCAACGTTGAGAAAAAGGTGCTTTTCATTATTAGTCATCTTAGATAATTTTATGAAGAAATGGACGATGTCTTTTTAGTGGGAACGCATAAGAAACTATAAATATGTAATGCTACCTAAATGTTTGATGTAAAACTTTTGGAACAACCATTTAACAAATGTGATCCTTAATCTACCAAAACATATAAATAAACTAAATAAATGAATGGACAATGAACAATTGAATGATAATTTATTGTTACTGCTGATTGTGCTGAGTCAAACTGATACAAAAGTCATTTCTTACATTCCAGCAGACATTGGACCAGTACCAGTACAGTAAGTACCAGTACAAGTACGGTGTACTTAAAAATTGTACTTTGTACTTTTACTTAAGTACAATTACTTAAGTACATTGTACTAAGTACGCCGTACTTAAGTACATTGTACTTAAGTACAATGTACTTAAGTACGGCGTACTTAGTACATTGTACTTAAGTACATTGTACTTAAGTATATTGTACTTAAGTACAATGTACTTAAGTAAAAGTACAAGTCTCTCTTCGCTGCATATTTTTCTACCGACAAAAAACACTTTCGTAATCAAATGAGATCTGTATTAAAAAGATGATGAAAGTTTACATGAGTACTATTAGACTTTTATATCTTTTGGTATCAAAATCAATATAATTTCCAGTTTTGTAACCTATAATCAGTAATGGTAAATTGGTAAAAGAGATATCAGAAACACATCTACAATCTGTTTGGTTACAATGGATGCGGGTGTAGGTGTGGATGCGTGTATTGTCTTCACACGCAGTACACCCACACCCACACCCACACCCCACACCCATCGAACAGATTGTGCTGACAACTTTTTGTTTAGGTTGAGCTTAGTTTAAGACTACTAAAATGTAAAGCCGATAGCTCTGAAAAGTAAAGATGCTATATATTGAAGTCGTTGTGGATTCGAGTTTAGATACTTTTTGCTCAAGTCTTTTTCAGTTCTAGCCAGTACGATGAGAACTGGGAAAATGTTCCAAACATTTCTACTGCATTTTCTTTAGTTTTAATATGAATTCCGGCGACTAAGAATGGTTCACGAAGCAATGGAAAAAACCATTCCTATAACAACTCTTCTTTTTACAGAGAAGAAACACTTATAATCGTATGAAACGAAAAAGTAATCAAAATGAGAAACCCACCAAGTAATGTTCTCGAAAAGGGTAGACAGACAGCATCGGTACTAAGTACAAATGTACTTAGTACCGGTACTTAGTACAATTGTACTGTAGTACGGTGTACTTAGTACATTGTACTTAAGTACATTGTACTTAAGTACAAGTACAAAGTACAATTTTTAAGTAAAAAGTACATGTACTTTTACTTAAAAAAGCGTACTGGTACTTACGATTTCCGCGTACTAAGTACGAAAAGTACTAAGTATTGTACTAAGTATCCAATGTCTGCATTCCAGAGCAAAAATTCTCTATACTTTATTTTGAAATTTGCACTTTCTACTCAAGAAATGAAGTTGTTTTTATTGAAAATGCAGAAAACGCACGATAGATAGGCCCAATCACCTGTTTGACCCTCTGATTTCAAAAGATCTCGAGCTGGAAGATGAATGAAATCATGTTCTTCGAGAAACTTGTTATAGAGATTATAGAACTATGATCGCACAGCAACGAACTCAAGGATGCCCTAAGAAGATACTATATCGGTTTTCAGAAAATAGGCCCTGATGGTAGATTCTATGCGATTCGAAGGATTTCAAAAGATGTCTTACTGAGAAGTCAAGCAAATTGTATTCTCCCGAAAACCCTTTATAGAGAGTGTAGGACTTTGTTTGTGAGTTCACGGTTTTAAGTATTTCACGACATGAAAAAATGTCTGATATCAAGGTTAATATTTTCGACGGTGGACTAGATCAGATTGGAAGGATTGTAGAAGATGGCGAATTGAGAAATCATGCAAATCGAGATATTCGTAGGTTTTTATAGTGATTTTGTGATATTCTAGGACAAGGGGGGGGGGGGGGGGGGGAGCTAATTAGGAAGCTCATTGCAATCAAAGTAATCATTGTCAATCAACAGTAACTATTAATAATTATTCAGAATAAACTGATTTTTATTGAAAACAATAACGCTAATTGCCATTCACTCTACATAATGGTTGCCAGTGCAGGAAGAATTATATCGTTGTATATTCTATAAATCCAGGACAGCCATGATGAATAATAGACAGTCGATATACAGTCTATGTCGATATCTTTCTTTTTTCTTGTCGTATGTTCATGCGTTCATGCGACACACGACAGAATGAGAAAAATAAATAAATATCTCTTTGTCTTGTTGTTACCATTTCATTTCCATCTGTTCACACAAAGTCACAGACGAACTGTTCATTTCTTAATTCTGCTGTTTTTGATATACCTATTTCGAAATACTGATATATGGATACAAAAAGTACTTCCTTTGAATAATATGGATTTACGAGATGAAGCATTTTATGATTTTATTCGTCAAATTTCTGGAAAGCGAGTGGCAGAGCTGCTTGCCTTTCAAAATTGTAATGGAGTTGATTCATTTCTTGGATGTAAAGAATGTACTGATGTACTGCGTCTTGAATCTGATCAATTCAATGATCTTAAAAAGAATATATGCATTACATTACGTGACGGATCCGTTGCTCTCCTACCAGGTCTTGAATCATCGATTAGTAATCTCATCAAACTCCTTAAAAGAGCTCCGAGCACCACTTCGTCCAATCTAGCAACAACAACTGTACCGACATACTATTCGACAATTCATACACCGTTACCATCAGATATATCAATGTTTACTAATTTATCTAACTCGCCATCACTTAATTTTTCAACTACATCTAATCCTCTTATAGATCAGATGTCAAATAGAATTTCAACAACTATTATCGATTGGCTCAAGAAAAACCAACAGGAACTAAATTTTATGAATACGAATTTTCAACGAGGTATCGATTTTCTTGTTGAATTAAATAAACAACGAGATGGAATTATCTTAGTCGGTGTAAATGTGGCACAAAAAATGCTATTACACAAAAACGGGAAATTCTTAGAGTAAGAGATTGAATAATTTAATCTTTAAATTTTGTGTACTAAAAAAAGATCATTTGATTTAGTTTTCGAATATCTATCGACATTTCAAATCCGGCAAATGTTCATTGATCATCGATAAAAAACAAAATTCAGGCGACGATCACAACACCGATGATGATCAAGAAAATGA